GGAGCCGCGGTCGCCCGGGCCGAGATTGGGGGGGCAAGGCGGGCGACAGAAGGCCGATGCCTCCGTCGCCCGGCCCTCTACAGAATCCACCCCCCAAACCTCCAGGTATTTCCCTCCTTAGAGCTGGCAACCCTACATTCCCCTCAGTGCCTGTTGGTAGGCAACTAAGCTTGGTCCTGTCACCTACTTTGGCCTTTGGGAGAAAACACATTGGGGCCAGTCCTGATAGGGTTGCCAACTCCAGATGGGAAATTCCTGGAGGTTTGAGGGATGGAGCCTGAAGAGGGTGAGGTTTGAGGAGGGGTGGGACCTCAGACAGGTACACTGCCATAGACTCCACCCTCCAAACCAGTCAGTCCCACATAGGGAACCATTGTTGCCAATCTCCAGGTGAGGGCTGGAGAGCACTCAGTATTACAACTGTTCTGCAGAAGGGAGGGCAGAAGTCAGCTGAAGTCAAAGGGGCAGATAATGGTAGGTTGGTGGCTAGCTGGGAAGGAGATGGGGTTGCCAACTACATGCTGACAAATTCTTAGGGATTTGAAGGGGTGGAGCCTGGAGAGGGTGGGGTTTGCAGAGGGGTGGGACCTCAGACAAGTAGAATGCCATAGACTCCACCCTCCAAACCAGCCATTTTGTCCTGGGTAACAATTGTTGCCAATCTCCAGGTGAGGGCTACAGATTACTCACAATTACAACTGCTCTTCAGGTAGCAGAGATCAGTTCCTCTGGAGAAAACAGTGGACTCTGTCATTATACCCTGCTGAGGTCACCACAGCAAAATTGACACTGTTTGCCCAAAGCCAGAGCACTGCCCCAGAGCCTCTTTCTAGATCCCGTTGTATTGCTTTCACAACGGGCTTTACTGCTAGTAAGATATATAAAGGTAAGGGTAAAGGTTTCCCTTGCTTGAAAGCTAGTCGAATCTGACTCTAGGGGGCAGTGCTCATCTCCGTCTCCAAGCCGAAGAGCCAGCACTGTCCAAAGACTTCTCCGTGGTCTCATAGCCGGCATGACTAAATGCCGAGGTGCCGGGAACACTCCTTCCCACCAAAGCAGTGCCTATTTATCTACTGGCAGTTTCTTGCTTTCGAACTGCTAGGTATATACACAGGAGACTTAATGCTTTAAAAGTACCCCAAGCCTCCTTTTTTGTTATATGTAAATAAATGACTGACAAAAAACAGAGATTAAGATAAAACTTTTCTTATCAAAGAAAACATTTTTAACTATTTTTCCCCTGGCAAAACTAACAAATTAATCCTTTATTCCAAGGATACAGGGCCCAGTTTAATGCCACGCCCTTTAGCTCTTTGATTCATTCAGGACAAGACATTCTTCCTGAATTTTTTAGATCTATGCCTGTTATGACAAGAACAGGCATCAAAATGAGATTAAGGAGCTCTCACACATGCTGGGATTAGAGAGATGAGATAATGAATCAATCCCAAGAGGTCATTAAGTCCATAGATGGCAGCAGGCGCATCCAGCCACTTATTTTTATCTGTTTATTTTATTTACTTCATTTACAGCCTGCCTTTGGCACTGAGACTCAAGGTGAATTAAAAAAAATTAAATCCAACAGCACACAATTGAGGCTCAATTAGCATGCCAGTGTACACAGCCTTTGCACTGGAGTCAAGGAGCCTCTAACAGTACTATTTGAAACAAGATTATACCCTCCTAAATCCACTGAAGTCAGATTATTTATTTAAATATTTATACCCTGCTTTTTCTCCCCCCCCCCAAGGATCCAAAGCAACATACAACACTGTCTGTCCCTCTTGCATTTGGTTCTCATAACACCAACACTGTGAGGTTACTTTGGCCGAAGGTGTGTGTCTGGCCCAAAGTGGTCCAGAGAGCTTCTGTGGCAGCATGGGAACTGGAGTCTGGCTGTCCCAGATCCTAATCTATACTTTACACCATGCTGGCAATCAGTGGATTCAGAAAGGTGTAACTCTGCATTAGGTGGCTATTTAGGTGGCTTTCCTCCCTGAATTTGTGTCCTCTCATCGGAGCTTTCTATAAAAAGTAAATCCAGTGGGAGAACAGCACCCTAAAGAAATAGTTTCAGTTGGAAAAGCACAGTGTGTGTGTGTGTGGGGGGGAGATTCCGCGCTCCCACCCCTGCTCTCTTCAATCAGAAGGACTAGGTTCGTCCATTAAATCTACTTGCCCTTTAACACTGACCAGCTTTATTACTGTCTAATAACTCGACTGAGGCATATCATTGCGGACTGTGTTGTTGTTGTGCTACAGTAATATTTTACACCACCACCACTCAACTTCATTAACAACTAGTTGTTGAGGGATAGGAAGCCCTGCTGTCTCTGGACTTTATAACATCAGCCTGTGCCAACCGCCTGGAAGACACCTGAAGTAGATCTAGGAGCCGGTTATGGGAAGAAAGAGCTAATATGGTAGCCATCGTTGATCCAGCAACAACAATACTAGCACCTACTATGTTATTGTTAACTAATTTTAGCATTGTTTTAAATGTTTTTATTGTTTTATTGCAAATATATGCTGAGCCGGCCTTGGCTGGGACAACAGGGTAAAAAAATGAGAAATAATAAATAAATAAATTAAATCTCACCTCAGTCATGTATTCATTGACTCTAGGTTCCTAGGTATTGGCCACTGACTCTGTTATAGGCTCATTAACACAACAGAGAAAAATTTAAAGAGCTGAAACGAAACATGAACCTGCCTTATCCTGAATCAGACCCTTGATACATCAGGGTCAGTTTTTTGTCCCAAATGGTAAGTAGCATCATTAGAAAGGATGAGGAAGATAATCAAGGAGGACAGGGAATGGGAAGCCCCTCTGAATGTCTCTTGCCTTGAAAACCCTACAGGGTCAGGGGGATGGGTCACCAGAAGTCAGCTGTGACTTGACATCTCTCCTTATATATAATTGAATAGTGGGTGCCAATGTTCTAATTCTAAAATGCACTCCCTTAGTGTGTGGCTGATGGCACTGCTCCTCAGCATATATCGCCACCAATCAGAAGGCAAAGCCCGGGTCCCGCCCACACCACAACTGCTGCGACAACCTGGTCTTTTGCATATGGAAACTGATTGGACTTCAGTCCATTCCACACCTCAAACTCCCCCCCCCCCGCAAGGCAGTTGGAATTTTCAGTAGCATAACATACCTCATAGGGTAACAATGGTTACCACTCTCCAGGTGAGGGCTACAGATAACTCAAACATACAAATGCTCTTCAGGTAGCAGAGATCAGTCCCTCTGGAGAAAACAGTGGACTCTGTCATTAAACCCTGCTGAGGTCGCCACAGGAAACTGACACTGTTTGCCCAAAGCCAGAACACTCTCCCAGAGCCTCTTTCTAGATCCCGTTGTATTTATTTCCGCAACGGGTATTATTTCTAGTCAAAAAATAAGTATAATTCTCCTCTTTAAAAGTGCCTCTTCCTCCTCCCAGAACAGCATGGCCTTTGCTGGATTTTAAAGGATAGCCACCTTGGTGGCCCTAATGAAAGCGGAAAAGTAATGTATACATCTTGTAAACAAAAGAGCACACAGACCTTCTGCGTTCTAGAACATAAAGAGAGCTGCATCTTCTGGAACACCCAGGCGACCACAAGTGGGCGCTGGACCACCAAAGAGAGTCCTGCACTCCCTTAAAGATGATCTCTTGCGTTTTGCCTTGGGGCTTATTCAGATTGTTCTTTCTACTCACGTGAAAGTGTGTCCCATTGTACAAAGCCACAATAAACATGCCTCAGAAGGCTTGGGCTGTGTTAACTTCTCACAAGAAAGTTGCTTACATGGAGACCGGGCACTCCCTCTAAAGTGAAAGGTAATCTGCAGGTGAACAGCCATTACTCTCCTGTAACTTACGTGTCCCAGGGCTGAGTCCTGGGTTCAGATTCTGAGGCTCCCCTCCCCTTCACATGCTCTGGCCTCCTGTTTACTGCCTGGTGAGCAAGGAGGGACCCACAGCGGACAGAAATGAAATGGAACTGCAGGAAGGAAAACCCCCCCACAGAAACATTTTAAGGTGTCCTTTTATTAAAATGTGCGTCACTGTTCTGTGTGGCTTGCTTTGCTGTTGTCTGGCTGTCAGCGTGTTTCCTGGGACAGCTGCCGTGGCTTCAGCACTTGAGCCTGACCTGGGGAAGACTTCAGGTTGTTCGTGGCCTTTGGCTCCCACCCATGGCAATGTAGACGTCAATGGGAACGTTGGGCAGGGTCAGGCAGTGGCACCCTGGACATCTTCGCAGCTGCCTGCCCAAAAAGAGAAAGGGGACAGAGAAAGAGATTATCCACTTGGCTGGCCCAATATACACATATGACAGGAGGAATTATGAGCATGACCCAGAACAGGAGATCTTAAGGAATTCATGTTCTCTTCCTCACAGAGAAGTAGCCCAAATAACCCAAGCTTCTAAGAACTTGGAAGTTGTGGGGTAGGCCACAGTTAGTACTTGAATGGAACAACCGCCAAGGAAGACGGGGGCTGCTACATGGAGAAAGGCAATGGCAAACCACCTCTGTTTGTCTCTTGCCTGGAATGCCCCATGAGTTGCAGTTATTATGACACAATGACGTTGTTGTTCTTGTACATTTGAGTTTCTGAGTTTTATCATTACAGACCACGAGTTCAACATACAAAGGCTGCACCCTGACCTGGATAGCCCAGGCAAGCCCAATCCTGTCAGATCTCGGAAGCTAAGCAGGGCCGACCCTTGACAAGTGTTTGGATGGGAGACCTCCAGAGAATACCAGGGCCAGGAAGCCAGAAGCAGGCTATCAAGCCACTTCTCTGAATGTCCTCTGTGCCCCAGTAGGGGTCGCCATGACTTCCAGGCACACAGACACACACACAAATGCAATAAAATAAAATACAAAGACCACTAGTCCATAAAATCCGCTAGGTAAAGTGTTATGCAATTCACATTCTTTCAAAAGGGATTTGGTTACACAGTGGGTTGTGCCCAAAATAAATCAGTTTATTTATTCAACCGAGAAACTAAAATGTGGGATTCGCTATAAAGGGAAGCAGTGAGGGCCACAAGGACAGATGGCTTTAGAAGGGACTTAGTCCTGGAGAAGAAGAGGTCTATCAATAGCTTACTAGCCTTGGTCACTCCATAGTCAGAGGCAGTAGTCCTCTAAATCCCAGTGGAACACCAGGAGGCAATATCAGGGGAATGGCCTTGGCCTCTGTGTCCTGTTCATGAACCACCAAGGCAACTGATTGGCCACTGTGTGAAACGGGTTGCTGGACTACATGGACCACTTGTCTGATCCAGCAGATATCCGGGAGCTTCTGGATGTTCCACTCAAAAGGTCAAAAAGGTCTCCACATAGATCTGCTTTAAAAATGATATACCTAGCAGGACTTTCACACACAGCACCCTAAGGGCTGCCCAAAGGACTTATCACTGGCTAACCCAGTCTTGTCATGCTAAGCAAGGTCAGCCCTGGTTATTACTTGGATCATGGGAAACCACCAAGGAATTCCAGGGTTGCTATGCAGAGGAAGCAATGGCAAACCACTTCTGACCTTCTCTTGCCTTGAAAATCCTACAGGGTCACCATAAATTAGCTGTGACTTGACAGCAGAAAAAAAGCTCATGTGATGGAGCCCCTGCACTAAACCTTCAATGGACAATGCCCAAAAATGTTTTTTAAAAAGATATGCAGATTCTAGAAATGTAAATTTAAAAGTTGAAGTATTTATTATAGGTATACTTGCTTTTGCCCTAACCTGGATGACCCAGGCTAGCCTGATCTTGTTAGAACTCAGAAGCTAAGCAGGGACCATCATCGAAGTCCAGGGTTGCTATGCAGAGGAAGGCAATGACAAACCACTTCTGAACATCTCTTGCCTTGAAAACCTCACTGGGGTCATCACAAGTCAGCTGCAACTTGATGGCACTCACCTCCACCACCTTGAATAAACCTTTGTTGGTCTTAAAGGTGCCACTGGACTCTAAATTTGTTCTTCCTCCACCACCACATTTGCTTTCGGTGTGTATTACAAGCACCATTTTGGTAAAATATGTAAAACAAAAGTGTCCTTCCCCACAGTCATTTCCTTAACTGTCTCTGCACCTTGAAAATTATCTTATTCTAACATTGGACCATTCATTCCTCCATGCCCCAAGTTCCAGCTTCATTCAGGCTAAGCCTTCCTTTGCTGATTTACTGCCGAATTTGTTCCAAGACTGCAGGGCTTGGTGATTGACCAGAGGTAACATGTCATCTGTATGTTAAGGTCTATGGGAGGATTCAGTGAGTGGGATGCGTGAAGGGAATGGCAGGCAAGGGTTTTTTTGGGGGGTGGAACTAAAGGGCTTCTTAGAGATGCTTAACAGAAAGGGACATGATAGAAGTGAGTAGCTGCCAGGAATTCAAGTGTGAGCCATGCATAGATTTATGCCAGTGCACTAGAACAATCATGCAGGGTGTGCCTGTATATTTATTATTTATAGTGAGACTATGTGTGTGCCACTTCCTAATTTTCAGTTATGCACATAGACATTCCTATACTGGCTCTTCGTTGATCTCTGCCTCTGAACATTGACATTGTTTGGCTCTCTAATGGTAAAAGGTTGTTAACCTCCCATGAGAACCACCATTCTGTGCACAGAATGGAATGGCAAGTGTTTAGACTGACCCTGGCATTATTATTCCACCTCTACCCGGTCCTTACCTCGTTGCAGTGCGCTCAGGGGCAACCGGCTCCTGGGTATCAGGGGCAGTCGCCAGGCTGGGAGAATCTCCTGCCTCTATGGGAAATCTCCGAGCTTGTGGGGTCTCTTGGGAGCTCATGTCCAAGCCCCAGACCTGTCTGATTAAGAGAAGAAGGATGAGTGGAATAAGCCCCCCCCCCCAGTCCACTGTCAAGTTCCACATCAGACTCAGGTACCTGCCCTAATAAAAGACCTTCTAGTGGAGTGCACACTGCTGGCAGGGATGGGCAACCATGCAATAAGGTCTGCAGGGTAGGAAATGCAGAAATTCTCCCAGGGGGCAGATAGGGCACCAAGGAAGTTCAGGGTCACACAGAGGCAGGCAATGGCAAAACCACCTCTGAACATCTCTCAACAACCCTACAGGGTCGCCATAAGTCAGCTGCAACTTAACAGCAATTTCTACCACCGCCAGAAGTCAGTGGACACCCAATCCAGCCTCCCCCCCCCACCCACCCCAATCTCTATTGGAATAGCAGAGGCTCATGTTAACAAAGAAAGAGCCCTTCTGCTCTGGGTCCGGAAGCTTTCCTTTCTCATCTCAGTAAGGCTGCCCCCTTCTTTCCTGTTTTAAAAAACCAGGATGTGTGTCTTTGAACAGCAACTTTACAAGCAGAACCAAGGCAGGAGAATTTTCCTGGTACTAGGAAAAGCTTCAGCACCTAGATTCTCAGAGAACCAGAAGGAGACACAAAGCCAGCAAAAAAACCCGCCCCACAGATATGTGGGGTGCCCTCCTCAGAGCTGAAAAATGTTCTCAGAGGCACATGCTTATTTGAGAACAAGGGCCAGGCATTCCAAAGAGGTTCAAGGCATGGGGCAGGCCTGATTCAAGCCAAACCCCCCTGTGAGATGCAGTGGGCACAACTTAGCCTCCAGACGCTTGCTGTCCTTTGCCGTACCTATCAAAGGCGGTGGAGTGCTCCCTAGAGTCCACTGGGCAGCTTGAAAGAGCCTATTGCAAAGGACAGGCTCCGACGGAGCCCAGAGAGAGGCAGCGACACTGCTGCATTGTGACCCAGATAGCAGTGCTTGCATCACAATGCATATGGGCCATCACTTCTCTGAACTCCTGGCCTCTAACACTAGGGAGCCCCCACTGGAGACCTTTGTTGGCCCTGTGAAAACCAACTTGGGAGTGATTCTCCCTCTTCCCAAGCTGCCTCCCTGTCTCTTATACGCTCCTGTATTAGATGAAGAGACCTCATATGTGTTCCAGAGACCCCAGAAAGGCATTCAAATGGGGTGGGGAGCAAACAGAAGGGAATTCAGGTCCAAGTTTATGAACCAACAAGCCCTGCTTTGTTTGGTCTCCTCTGTCTTCAGCCATGGAAAGAACTCCTTTCCCTATACCACCACCGGTATCTTTTATCCAGGGGTCGTTTCGTAGAAAAAGAGCTAGGGAAACTCATTAGCATAACTCATTAGCATATGCCACATCCCCTGACATCACCGGAAGTGTGTCATAAGGCCACACCCCCTGACATCAGCGGAAGTGTGTCATAAGGCCACACACCCCGCCCCCAACGGTCCCGGCCGCCGCCGGCCTTGCAGTCCTGGCTGAATGAGGGCCGGAAGCAGGGGGCGGGGCTTCGTCATGTGCCCTGCCCCCCGTACCTCACCCGGGGGAACTGTGATCCCCCCCGATCCCCCCCCCCCGAAATGACCTCTGCTTTTATCACCTTCAGGTAAGAGCTTGCTTCCTCCTAAGGAGTGGGCAGACATCAGCTGAAATATTAACAAGGAATCTCTGGCGGTAACAGATACTGAATTTCTAGCTATATGGCCCCTCAAGTAGCCTCCTCCTCCTCAACCACTTTCTCTTAAGTAACTGCTCTTCCTCAATCACAGAAGTGAGATGAGAAAGTCTGGTCTTGTTTTTGCTTTTGTTGAAGTTTGTGTACATATGTTCTTATGAAGAAGACCAAGAGACTGAATTCCAGGGATCTGTTCTTCTGACAGTTCTACTTTCCACAAGCCCAAAGAAGTCCTCTTGTAGGAACAGAAGGCTGCTTGGACCAGAGGAAAGCACCATTGTTAGCAGAATGGATCCATGGAATTCATCTCAGTGCCTCCAAGAATGCCAGGCAGATATTACAGATGCAAACAGTATAGGAGTGCTTAGAAAGAGATATAATGTGCTGTAAATCATGGGTGATGAACATGACAAAAACTATTTATCAGAATGGCTACTGATGAAAATTAAGGGAGAACTGGTCTTCTAGACTGGAAATTTAGAGGCCAGACATGGAGACGTCTGGCAAAAATAACTTTAAAATGTTTGTTTTCTTTCTCACTTTAAGATATCATGGCTGCGTGGCCAGTGTCCAAGACAGCTACTTCAGATTTACCAAGCATCAATAGCAGCCCAGTGTTCACTGTAGAATTAACAGCCATAAGACACCATGTAACAAACAGTTTTCTAAAGGAACTGGATGCTAAATATATAGAAGCAAGCCTTAGACTAGCTGTGGTATTAAAAGCACATCTTCTGTCTACTAGTACCCAGAAGTCAACTTTTATAAGAGATTGCTGATTTTTACTCGAGGCATCCGTCTAGAGCATCAGCCTGCTGAGGAAGGGGCCTAGCAGACTCAACCCCCCCCCCAGTAGTTCTTGTGCTTTTCTTGGCAAAGCAAGACCTCTTAGCTCTGATACCTTTTGTCTGGTCCCACATAAATCAGATCAACAGACCAGCTGTTCTTCCAACCAGCACCCCAGCTTTATATATCCTACTTTTCCTCCAAAGAGTTCAAAGCATTTTAGCATCAGAGGTAGGTTAAGCTTGAAAGATGGCAACTTGCAAGCTTCATCGCTAAGTTGGGATATGAACCCATGTTTCCCCCATGTCTTACTCTGGTCATACTGTCCTTGCTAGCCCTCTCTGGACTAACCGTTCCAACCTTGGTTTCCCACCCAATGTACCACAGCCTGGTTCCCCAGTTTATCCCACAGTCACAAATTCCATGGGAATCACCTCACTTGATAAGGAAGGGGGTTGAGGAAATCAGAATACTTACTCTTAAGTCTCGCCCGATGTAACTAGACCCAAACCCTGCCACACACTCTCAAGCCAGCAAACTTCCATGGTGGAGGAAAAAAACAGAAATTTAACCGTCCATGTTCAGTGCTACTAACTAGCTGGTCTACCTACACTATACTACACACTACAATGATCTCTTACCCCAAGGCCACACAGCTGTAGGCCTCTTGGCAGGTTAACCCATCACCCCCCTGGAGGGCACTGTTGAGAGGCAAACACAGGGCCAGATTTTTGTCCTTTGGAGTAATATGAATGGCCTCTTCCCATTGGTGCAACCCCACTACCTCTACCCCGTGGCCTTCGGGTAACACAAGGTTGCATCACAATGAAAGCTCAAAGTTTTAAGATGTCCAACCTGAGTTTCACCCCTCATCAAAGGACCTTGTCTAGGCAGGAAAAATGATCTAGCATCCCGGGCTGCTATCCATGCAGACCCTGGTCTGGAAGGAGAAGGACAGCAATGTGTATACTTTGTGATGACATGATGCCCTGAGAGGATGACCGATGAGCACGTTAAAGGCACGATGGAGGAGTTCCTTCTCTCCCATGGTTACCAAGTGGGCAAAACCATTGGAGAAGGGACATATTCAAAGGTCAAAGAAGCTTTTTCGAAGAAACACCAGCGAAAAGTGGCCGTGAAAATTATAGACAAAGTGGGAGGACCAGAAGGTAAGCTGAAAGAGAAGGGCTGCGGGTAAGCTCAGTAGGCAGGTCATCTTTGATAAATGCAGACAGTGTTCTTGAAAAGAAACCCTTTCCGGAAAGAGGGTGGATTGCACCTGCATATACATGCCTGACTAGATTTGACTGTTTTTTCCATCCAATAAGTTGCTTCCAGGTTGCTGAGAAATTTCTTTTGCAGGGCTTGTTGATTCTACAGCCTTCTCACATAATCTTTTAGTCACACATTCCTCTCTCATACACAGATAATTTTTTGCCAATGACAATTGGTACTTGGTCCACTGCTTTTTTAACTTGTTCATTAATGGTTTGGAGATGGGAGTAAGCAGTGAAGTGGCTAAATTTGCGGATGATACGAAGTTGTTCAGGGTGGTGAAAACCAGTGAGGATCGTGAGGCACTCCAAAGGGATCTGTCAAGGAAGAGCGAGTGGGCGTCAACATGGCAAATGGGGTTCAATGTGGCCAAGTGCAAGGTGATGCACATTGGAGCCAGAAATCCTAAATATAAATACACATTGATGGGGTCTGAACTGGCAGAGACTGATCAAGAGAGAGATCTTGGAGCTGTAGTAGATAACTCACTGAAAATGTCAAGACAGTGTGTGACTGCAATAAAGAAGGCCCTATGCTGGGGATTATTAGGAAGGGTATTGAAAACAGATCAGCCAATATCATAATGCCCCTATATAAATCAATGGTGCGACCTCATTTGGAATACTGTGTGCAGTTCTGGTCACCACACCTTAAAAAGGATATTATAGCTTTGGAAAAAGTGCAGAAAAGGGCAACTCGAATGATAAAAGGGTTGGAATACTTTCCCTATGAGGAAAGGTTAAAGCGCTTAGGGCTCTTTAGCTTGGAGAAACGACGACTGAGGGGTGACATGATTGAGGTTTATAAGATTATGCATGGGAAAGAGCAGGTAGAGAAAGAGGTACTTTTCTCCCTTTCTCACAATACAAGAATTCGTGGGCACTCCATGAAATTGCTGAGCGGTCGGGTTAGAACGGATAAAAGGAAGTACTTCTTCACCCAAAGAGTGATTAACACATGGAATTCACTGCCACAGGAAATGGTGGCGGCTACAAGCATGGGCGGCTTCGAAAGGAAATTAGATAAGCATATGGAGCAGACGTCCATCAGTGACTATTAGCCACAAGGTATAGATAGGGGCTCTGGGGCAAGTGATGCTCTGTCTTCTTGGTGCTTGGGGGGGAGTCAACAGTGGGAGGGCTTCTAATGTCCTAGCCCCACCGGTGGACCTCCTGATGGCACTCGTATTTCTGGCCACTGTGTAATACAGAGTGTTGGGCTGGATGGGCCTTTGGCCTGATCCAACATTGGCGTCTCTTATGTTCTTATGTAATTGGCTGCTGCTATATTTAAGGAATCCTAGAACAATTGGATGTACTCCTCTCTTAAACACAGATAATTTTTTGCCAATGACAATTGGCTGCCGCTATATTTAAGGAATCCTAGAACAATTGGCATGGGGGCTTTCTTAGCATTAGCATTTAAATGACCAAAGCATATGAAGGGGGGGGAGAAAAGTCGCAACTGCATAGGAATCATTGATAGAATTTTCTGTGGTAAAGACTTGCCGGCAGCACTTGCCTGCATGGTGGAGGTTAATATACACACTTGCAAATTAAAAACTCATTACAGGACAGCTATGCCAAGCATTGCTAGCACCAGCTTCTGCCAAGGCTGACCCAGAATTCATGGATATTTGAAGGGCACTCTTAGCTTTTGTACCTGACGAGGCTTGGCTCCTAATAGAATTTCTCCACTCTTTGGATCAGAGCTATACCTCTCCAATTTTAGCAGTTCAAAGACATATTACTGGGCCCATAGTTCAGATTTAAACTGCCCAGATGCCATGCTTTTATTTAAATATATATTCTTTTTTATATAATATAAACTCTCCTTAAAAGGAGAGAATTTTCAAACAGCACTGGCTTTGCTGATTCTGGAGAGAGTTGCTTTGGAACTTGCAATTAAGAATGGGTAACATCTTGTGATGTATGAACCAATGTCTTACAGTATTTAGTTAGCCTATAAATCTTTAGTTTTATTATTTTATCCTCACAGTAAATGTTCCTGTGTAAAATATTACTTGTACCTTAATGAAAATATATTCTAAATATTAATTCTAGTCATTTGTCTCCACAGTCTGCAATTTTAATCTATTGCCTAACTTTGCAGACCACCTGCTACTTTACTTAGCTTTTGTGGAATTCCTAGTTAATCCAAGGAAGGCCAGGAGTTTATCCGTTGGCTTCTGGCTGGAGGGAGGGAACGAAAGATTGGTGGCAGCCTATTAGTTTTAGGTGTGTGCAGGTGTACCTCAATATTTTGCCATTTGTGTTTACTGCCCTCTTGGTGAAAGGTATTTAGCCTGGGCTGGTTTGGATGATGTTTGGTTTTTTTTAATATAAACTCTCCTAAAAAGGAGAGAATTTTATTGCTTTTCATATTAGAAAGGGGGGAGGGTATATAGAGGGATAAAGAAAAGGTCGAGTGATACTTTCATTAGTATGTTAATCTGTTAGTAATAATCAAAAAAAATTCTTCTTTGGCTTCATTGTGTTGTCAATCGTCTTTCATCTCCTCAGTTATAAAAAATTGTTAAAAGATTAGTAGTGTCCCACTTTTTTGCTGTTAATAAAAACTTTTCAAACGCCTTGCGAGCTGATTCTTCTATTCTCAGGTTGGTTTCTCCTCCGAAAAGACAGGAAGGGTCCTCCTCCTCATTATCTTCTCCAGCTTTTTAGCTTCTCTTCCGGGTTTTTGCTTGCCGCTCACAGCCTGCAACTGCCGCTTTTCAACACGCCTTTCCGATAAAGTCCCAAGCTCTTAGAACGATTTTTTCTCTTTTTATGTCTTTCGACTTTAAATTAAACGCTGTCGTTCTTGTAGCCGGATCCCTTATCCACACCTCCGCTTTAAAGGCATTTTCCTCGTTACTCGCAGCTCAAAGCTTATAACAGATTTCCCAGAGGAAGCTATCGTTCAGACCGGGAGCTCCTCCCTTCTTGTTGCGCAGTTCTTTTTCCAGCTCCGACATCTTATTTATTTTGTTTACATTAAGCAAATTTCGCAAAGCACAATTAAAAGATAGATCATCATAACTTCTTTTCCAACAATCTCTCACCGAATGACACCACCCTTTTCAGCTTTCATTCTCCCCCCCCTTTCTTCTTTAAGGTCTCTTTTTAAACGGGAGTACAGGAATCCCTCCTCCTCTTTCGCTGGGGGGGGTCTTCCCCTCGAACGCGGCGAGGTTCATTAGGGCATGAGGGGAGCCTCAATTTCCGACCTTCCGGTCGAGAAAGAGGCTTTTCCCCTCGCGCGCCCCGAGTCGGAGCCCCTTCTGGGGCTTGTCCGGGTCTCCGCTTGCGCGGATCCCCCCCTCGGCCGCGGGCAGGCGAAGACGCCCTCGGGAGCGCCCCGAGGTTGCATCCACCATTCGTGGAGACCAAACCGGAAGCCTAAATATATATTCTTTTATGGCACATGACAAGCTTAAGAGATTGAAAGGTGGACTCATCAATGACTTTGTAATTATTTGACAGCTTCCTGCATATATTCCTCCTCTTGAAGACAGCATCTATTCAGATTATACTACGGAGGTTGGTTAGATTCACCATATTGAACTTAAAGCTGCAATCATAACACTTGCCTTGGAGTACACTCCACTGAATAAAATGGGACTTGGATGTAGACTTGTTTAGGATTGCTCCCCGAGTCTCAGCTTCAGTGCTTCTAGGTTCAAACAGCCAGTGTTTCTGCCTGCCAGATTGCTCCTCATCAGGAAGGTCTGGAGTCACTTCAGATCTCCTGAGTACCTAGAATCTTCTGTTGAAGTCTAGCCAACAATCTTTGCTGATGGTTCCCCTCTTGCCATCAAAGTAGGTCTATGACAGCAAGGTTCTCATGGCATCACAAGAGGCAAGGAAAGAAAACACTCTACGGAGCTTTCATGAAGGGTGTATAAACCTTCCTCTCTACACTGCTCTTTAAATAGAGGGTGCTAGAGGGGAAGGGAAGAATGATGAAATCTTCATTGGAATATTGAAAGCAAGTTTTGCATGTAGCTTTAAGCTTAGTTATTGGAACTTATTTGTTCCTATTGGAGGTGTACTTGACTCATGGTGTTAGCCCCCTTAAGCCCAGGAAAGGCTTATACATCCCTCTCTATATAATAATCAGGTCACTGAGCTTTTGCTTATCTTTGCCACTGCCATCTTCTCCCTCCACCCCTCTCTCCATCATTTGCACCTGCTACTGCAACTCCCATTTTTTCTGGAGTCTGCAAAGCCATACACATATGCAATGCCATTACAAAACAACATGGCAGCCCCTACGAGAGGCAGGGCCATAAGATAGGCACCTGTGCATCAGGTGTATGAAGGCCCCACCCAATGTTATATCAAAGGGTGGACTTCTCCAGCACTGCATTACTACATAGCACTTCTAACCCTTTCATATTCCATTCTGAATGACTGGGAAGTCCAAGGTTGCTATACAGAGTCAGGCAATGGCAAACCACCTCTTTTTCTCTTGCCCTGAAAACCCTATGGGGTCAGACAGCACTTTCCACCACCAAAACCATGAACACAAAAGTAGAAACCATGCAGCTCCTCTTGGAACAGACAGCTTTGTAGTAAAGTGAGTCACAACTTAGCAGGTAACTGAATGTGTCTATTCACAAGTCATGAAATTTCCCAAGATGCCACGGTTAGAGCATCTCCCAAGAATCATGATTGCTCCAGAAATACAAGGTGGGACTAGGTCATCCTGCAGCCACCTGACCATCCACTGATGCACCTTGGTCAACTGTTCAGTTTGGTGTAGTGGTTAAGTGCGTGGGCTCTAATCTGGGAGAACCGGGTTTGATTCCCCACTCCTCCACTTGAACTTGGCTGGATGGCCTTGGGCAAGCTGTAGCTTTGATAACAGTTGTTCTTGAAAAAGAGCAGGTTCTGTCAGAGCTCTCTCAGCCCCACCTACCTCACAGGGTGTCTGTTGTGGGGAGGGGAAGTGAAAGGGGTTTGTAAGCCGCTCTGAGACACCTTTGGGTAGTGAAGGGCGGGATCTAAATCCAATCTCTTCTCTTCGTCTTAATTTTTTTTTGTAATAATAAAATTGTTCCTTTGCCATTTTCCTTCCCAGAGTTTATTGAGAGGTTCCTTCCCAGGGAGCTCCAGATTGTCAAGCGCTTGGATCACAAGAACATCATCCGTGTGTATGAGATGCTGGAGTCAACTGAAGGAAAAATCTACCTGGTGATGGAGCTGGCAGAAGATGGTGACGTCTTCGACTGTGTCCTGCAAGGTGGGCCCTTGCCTGAGAGCCGAGCAAAAGCCCTCTTCTGTCAGCTAGTAGAGGCAATCCGCTACTGCCACAGCTGTGGTGTGGCGCACCGTGACCTGAAGTGTGAGAATGCCCTCTTACAGGGCTTCAACCTGAAACTGACTGACTTTGGATTTGCCAAGCTGCTCCCCAAGAACCGCAAGGAGCTGAGCCAGACATTTTGTGGCAGCACTGCCTATGCCGCCCCCGAGGTGTTACAGGGTGTGCCCCATGATAGCAGAAAAGGCGACATTTGGAGCATGGGGGTGGTTCTCTATGTCATGCTCTGTGCCAACCTGCCTTTTGATGACACGGACATACCCAAGATGCTTTGCCACCAGCAGAAGGGGGTTTCCATCCCTGGCCACTTGGGGATTTCCGAGGAATGCCAGGACCTTCTCAAAAGCCTGCTGGAACCAGACATGATCTTGAGACCTTCCATCGAAGAAGTAACTTGGCACCCATGGTTAGCAAACCCCTGAGAAGAGGACCATGTCCACAACTCTCCCCAAATAAAAGGGGACAGGCCATTTCCAAAACGCTCACATATATTTTAACGTTATGCTCAGTTTTGTAGTCTATCCTTACCCCTTCATTCATGTCTGGGAAAGGGGGCAGGGAGAGGGGGGGAAAACATAGATTGACAAATAATCTCACCATTTCCCCTCAAAGCAGGGATTAGACTCACTTGCTGTAATAGCACCGGCCTACAGAGAGGCCCAGGTGGCTGGAAACTGAACCTAGGGCCACCAAATGGAGAGCAGAGAGTATTCCTCTGCAACCTTGCTAAACTGCCAAAGGCACACACAACCAAACCCTCTTTCCAAGGCTGCATCTAAAGAACAACAACACAAAATTAAACGGGAGAGTACAGTGAACAACAAGGGTGTGACTTGTTGTCCCTCCACGACTTTCCTTTACAGGCATCTTTGCAGGGAGGATTACACGGCAGGTCTTGCTGCTGGAACAGAAAATATTCTCTTACTTTCAATCACTTGCCCCTAAGAAGATTCCCTTCTACCATCAGGCAAACTGATAATGGTCCATTCCAAGTAGTAATGGCTCTCCCATTCCCTCAGCCCTGCACCTAAAAATGCCACAGATCCAATCCAGACCAGTAGGCACGCACAGCATTAGACCTACCAAACTCCAGCCCTGCCTGCTGACTTAGCACACATCCTATCAGCCTCTGCAGCTCACTCTGAGGAAAGGGATGTGCAAAACTGGCGGTGCAGAAAGCAACCCAAAAGTTTATGTCCTCAGCCCTGTGGGTGCAGTGTCTCCCAGAGAGGCAGAACACACCTTCCAGGGATGGGAGTGGTCTGCAGGTGCCAGAACTCCCAGATCCTCTGCAGCTGAGACCCAAACAACAGCAGAGGATCACTCACTCCTGGCAATGTTCCCTCTTGCTCACTGAGACCCAAAGTGGGAATTCTGCGAGGAGCTGCTGGAGGAAGACGATATTTCCCAAGAAATGCCTCAAGCAGCCTGGTGGGCCCAACACCACCCAATCTTCTTCCTCCTTTCGTCCCAACCCCACAAGAGCCTTGTCTGGACAGAAAAACGCCTTCCCTTCCAATCCCTATCCCCAGCCTGACTCCTCTGTCCTTCCCATAGCTGTGCACACACAAGATCTCCAAGAGGATGAGGACACATAGCATGCATTCCAGAACATCAGACTACCCCCACACACACACACATTTGCACAACAGATTCTGGTGGGGAGAAGAAGAAAAAAAGAGACTCATTTGTCTAGTCTATTTCTGTAGAACTCCTTTAATTGCTCTTAACGGCCAGTCTGTAAAAGGTTCAGGAGAAAGTCATTATTACAAAACTAATAGTTGTTCGAGTCACTTGTTTGCCCCAGCTAGAAAACGGCCCAGGGAGATGTGGTATAATTTAAAAATAAGAGAACATTGCACAACCAAGAGAAAAGGGATGGGGAGGGAAGACCCTAAAGGAGAATTATGAAGGAATTGAAGCCCCAGCACTTTCTTTCAGTCCCAAGCGGGCATCAGGTCCTTCCATGGGAGTAGTCTTCCTGAACTCAGTTTAGCTTTAGGCTGCCAAACCGTGCTCCACCATCTCTTAAAAGCAGGCTGCGCTAGGGCCCAAGCATTTCTGTCCAGATCTGTAGCTCTGCTAGGCAGACAACACATGACACGATCCTAGCTGTAAGGCTTGATACAGTCTGTTCTTTGTGTACTTGCAGCCTGAATGCCAAGACATTCTGTAGCCCTGCAACTGTAGCAGGTTCAAAGGGCCCGGTCTTCAAGGGGATGAAAAAACAGAGCACAGTAGGCTTTGTAATCTGTTCCTCCTGCCCCAATAAACTGTGAAGTTTGATGGGCCCCAAAGACACAGCCAAAGAGCAGCTTCCTTGGCAACATTTTGTAGATGCTGCTTGCGAGCTGCAGACATCAATCCCTCTTTAAGTGCTGTTCCAGCTCTGCAAAAGTGGGGGGGGAAGGGATGCACCCACAACATGTCTCACATTCCCCATCCAAACTGCTGCTATGAAACAGCACTGAGTAAGTGTCTGGTTTCTGCAAAAACCCTACTCTGTTCACTGTGGCCAAGTGTGCTTCAAAAGCAGGGCAGTCCCTCTTCCCTTAACCTGCTTTTAACTCTTGACTGCTGCATTCAGTTTTTCCCAAATGGGTTTGTTTCCATGGACTATTTCAAAACAAGAGCCTATGAATGAGCCTCCACCTGACCAGAAGCCTCTCACTGCCTTTAGCAGCTGCTGGTTCCAAAAGCTGCTACAGCCACCCATGAAGAACCTCCTCACAGACCTCCCCCACCCACCTGTGCTGCCACCCACTCACTTGACTCCACCAGCAGAGCCTGGCCAATTTTCAAAGCAAGAACGAGAGCCACAGTAGCTTTCTTCTTATGACAGCAGAGAGGAGGAGGGCGTCAGACATTGCTGGAGGGAGGGTGAGCAACTGAGTCAATGAGCAGCCAAATGCCAAGGACGGGTGCAGCAGCTGTTGGACCTGAGAGCAGTAGCAGTCACCCAGAGGCTTCTGATTATGTGAAGGCTTGGTCAAAGCCTGTAGAGCATGAACCCATTGTGAGTTATGAAAACCAGGCCATCTTATAACACAGTGGAAGGGTGGGGGGTGGAGGATGTGCATTTTCTTCTGCTGCTACATGGAACTGGGAGATGATGTGCTCTTTCATGCGGCTCCCATTTTACTGGAGCTGGCACAGGATCATACCCCAAGGAGATAAACCTCCAGTTTGGACCCATATTAAAATAGTGTCTGAACAATACTGTGAGTTCTTCCACAGCTCTTTGACTTAGCTGCAACAGGCAGGAGGAGGAGGAGGAGGGATGCACTCTTCTTCCCCATACCATTTTCTCCCCTCAAAAAAGAGAAGATAC